GATGTTTATTTTTAAATATATGTATTACACAAGCCAATTTAACAAAATCAGAGATTCTTTTATCATGTACATTTGTTTTTTCCTTTTTTTTTCCTTTTTTTTTTTTTTTTAATTTTTTAAAGAAAAATTAAACATCAGAGTCAGAATATTTTATTTACATAAGAATGATTACAGTTAGTTCAAGGAATGAGGGATGCGTTTAACAGTGGAAAAACAAGGCCAATAGAATGGAGAATCCGACAATTAAAACAAATTGTAAAAATGCTGAAGGAAACCACCTCAGATATTTTTGCAGTACTAGCATCAGACTTGCGCAGAGTACGGTCATATCTTACAAAAGAAAAACAATCATATAACATATTACGTCTAATGTTATTTTTAACAAAAGGTTTTGACTGAAATTTTTTCAGCATAAATTTGAAACGTTTATATTGGAAATTGATTACACGGTCCAAGAGATTGAATACACGATTGCGCATCTTAAGGAGTGGTCGGTAACAGAGAAAGTAATTGTCATTTGTGATTATCATCTCAGTACTTAAAAATAATCTCCATAATCTTGGGAAGTAACTTTTATGTAATATATATTATCTTACAGCCGTCTAAGGGATTGGCGTACCTTTTTGATTCGGTGGAAATTCGGAATGATCCTTATGGAGTTGTACTAATCATTGGTCCATGGAATTATCCTCTTCAATTGGCCTTGGTACCTGTAATAGGCGCCATTGCTGCTGGAAATTGCGTGGTTTTGAAACCATCTGAGGTATCATTAGCTACGGCGAAATATCTGAAGGAAACTCTTCCGAAATATGTGGACACGGTACTTGTATATTCTTCCTGTACAAAATGCTACATTATAAATGGCTACCTTTCTTATTTCTAATGCTTTAACTGTTAAGAATGGAATAATGCTACATTTGATTTGTTACATTGAATTAGAAAATTTTAAGCAAAGATTCAACTTTAGCGACCTAAAAATCTCCTAAAAATGCTATTATGTTTTGCAAAAATTTTAAAGGTATTATTTTTAAAATGATGATATTTATAAGTCATTAACACTGGCAATTAGTCGTCAAATGATGCATACAGATGCATCATTAACATTAAAAAGGTTAAACTGAAAGAGATAAGCTATGTTGAAGGAAGTCCAAATTGAATTCTGTTACAAACATAGTGATGGTTCACAAAAGCTGTTTATGTTGAAGAATGGAAAACAACTTAATTTTTTCTCTGTTCTATCATACTTTCTTACATTTCTCTGACAAAGTACTACGATACACTTATATGTAAAATTATAGCTACATATTCACATTATTGATAAGATGTTTCTCTTATTTTTTGCGACACAAGTAACTTTTGTCAATTACCATTATCACCATTGTATCGCGTAATGAAGTTACAATAGAGTGCAGTTTAAGCAGTTTATTTTTCATGAAATAAGAAGTAAGAAGGAAAGGAAAAGGCCACTTATAATGAGAGCTCTACATAATTGGATTTTACTCATTAAGGAGAATAATAGTTGAATTAATCATGTTTGTGGATAGGAATGTTTCCATACAGTACTGGGTGGTATTCCAGAAACGACAGAATTACTCAAACAACGTTTTGATTACATTTTTTACACCGGATCCTCCGTAGTTGGAAGAATCATACAAAACGCTGCTAATAAGTATCTCACGCCTGTTACATTAGAGTTGGGTGGTAAAAGGTAGTAAACAATATCGGAACAAAACTATTAGAAACGCATTTTTTGTTGCATTTTCTTCAAAAGAGAAAAATTCTCTTGCAACTGTTTGCAGTCCTGTATACATAGACAACACAGTAGATATGCCGATGGCGGTGAAACGCGTCTTGTGGGGTAAATGTATCAACGTTGGTCAAACTTGCATCGCGCCCGATTACGTTTTGTGTACACCTGAGGTACAGGAAAAATTTGTTCAGGAAGCTAAAATGACTATAAAGGAATGGTATGGTGAAAATCCACAGGAAAGTATCGATTTAACACGCGTGATTGCGGAAAAACAATATCAGTAAGTTTTGTGCTCAAACATGCCTTATAATTTGCCTTCTAATTGTTTTTAAGTTTTAAGATAACTTGTACTTTTACAAATCTAGACACAATTTATTAATTGGTTTAAAAATTTATTAAATTTTTATCTTCTCATTGATTTTTATGACAAATCGTGCATTGCAACACTTAATTGACATTTGAGATTTGGATTCTCGGATTGACAGATTTTGAAAGTTATTTACCTAAAATTATAGCAAAATGTGATGATTGCATTACGAAAAAAACTTATTCTGGCATCTGTGATTTGTTCCATAATCGTTTATTATTTTATTTTTTATACTTAATTTCAGGGAGCATTCAAAAGTTTTTTTTCTCTTTATTATTAATTAGAAAAAAATATTTATTATAAATATTTTCTCGTTAAAGCTTCTCGAAAACGTTAAAGCTCTTGTTAATTTACAATATTAACTTATTTGATGTTTTAGTATGAAATAAGAAACACATAGTAAAGTTTTTGAATTTCAACAACTTTAGCTAATACACTATAGCCAGTTTATTCTCAATTGTCTTTAAATGATTTTAAATGATTGAAGTAAGTAGTTTAATAATAAAACACTTATTTTCTATTGTTAGACGACTTGTCAGTTATTTAAGTGGCAATGGGAAGATTGCTGTTGGTGGCGATGTAAATCCTACAGAAAAGTATATTTCGCCCACAATACTCATCGATGTGAAACCAACGGATCCCATCATGCAAGAGGAGATATTTGGACCGATACTGCCCATAATAAATATTAACAATGCGTACGAAGCCATTAAATTCATTAATGACGGGTAAGTTATTTAAATATAATGCTCGATAATCAAGCGATACGATCACAAATAAAACGTAAAAGACGCAATTTATCTTTTCATATAAGTTCTGACGATTATTAGCCACGATAAAATGCACATTGCCAAAAAATTTTGTGATAAATTTATTACGTTACATAGTAATAAGTCAAGTTAAGAAATTAGAAATTTACTTGTAATTTTATACAATAGAAAACATTGAAGAATCGGAATGCAAGCATAAAGTACATATGTATCAGTGATATATACATGTATGTATTTTTTTTTCAAATATTTTCTTCATTACAAAGTACACATAAAATTATAAATGGAATTTAATCTCAAATTCTATTGCGAATTATATTTACATCATTTAAAGTAAGTTCAAAAAGCTAAATAGCGGTTTTTATATTTAAGTTTACTTATTTCAAAATAAATATTTTTCCAATTAAAATTTTTTTAATATTAGTATTTTAAATATTTTTCTTATTTTAAATTATTTTTCTGTAATTCCATCTTTTCAAGAATAAAAAAGATTTTCTGCTTCTTTCGTATCAATATAATAATATGATTAATGCAATGGGATGAAAATTAGATAATATATTTTGTCTCATATATAAAGAAAATATCATTTATTATTCCATCTTAATAAACTTGCTACAAAATTATCTGGCAACATACATTTTATGATAGCTAATAATCTTCACAATTAATATAAAAAATCTGCATTGTGTCTATACGAACGATTTTATTGTCGCGCTAGAAAACAGCACGAAATAATTCTTTTTTTATATCTAGTGAATGTCCACTAGTACTGTACGTATTTTCCAAGAGCAAGAGAGTGCAAGATTTATTTGTGGACCAGATCCGCTGCGGATCCGTGTGCATCAATGACACGATAATGCACTTTGGCGGTGAGTCCGTGTTACAGGCATAACAACGGGGTGTCGGGGATTTGGTTTAGTTATCATTTGAGAATTTTGGAGGAAAGAGAAAACTGTGAAACAAAAAGCAAGTACTCTCATCGTAGCTGTCCACGATAATAACGCTAACATGTTAAAATAGACATTCTTCTTATCTTTTAGAAGACAAAAATAATTTTCCATTTCTTAGTGTACTGAAGCTAAATTCAGCTTTGAGATTTAAAAAATGCGTATATCTAAATGCGTAAGGATTTTAAAAAAAATAAAAAAAATTGAAAAATTATTTTTAATTTAATAGCATTAATATTAATTGCTTCATGTTAGATTATGTTGTATAATTCTCTCTATAACTAAAAGGGGACTGTATTTTAAAAAGTGATAGTTTAGATTCTATGTTTATTAGAATATGTTTCTTGTTAAAGTATAAAATATGCCTACAAATTTTGTAACAAATCTTTGGATTTATCTTGTATACATATACATACATATATGCATAACCATTAAATTCATCGATTTTTATAAATAAGCATATTATGTTCTCAGTTGAAACTCTACCCTTTGGAGGAGTAGGAAATTCCGGTATAGGAGCCTATCATGGAAAATATACATATGACACGTTCACACACAAAAAAGGTTGCTTGATCCGAAATTACAACAAGATCGCAGAATTTTTAGCCAAGTAAATAAATATATTTTTGTATAATTATATATCTTGCTAAAGAATAATTGTATATCATCAATTATATATGTTTTGCAATATGCTACAATGGCATTGTAGCAAATATTTTAATTTTTTTTTTCTTTTTTTTCTTTTTTCTTTTTTCTTTTTTCTTTTTTTGACACTTTAACAGAATACATATTTTTCAGAAATCGTTTTCCGCCCTATTCCGATACGAAGATGAAGATACTTAGATTACTTCTTGCAAGAAGACGTATACCTGGTAAAAAATATTTGCCGTATCTGTTGGCATTTGGTGTTGGAGTGCTCATCACAATCGGATTCAAAGCTATATTAAAGGTACAAAAACGGATTTCTGCTTAAATTGTACATAATTCACATCATGTTATATGTAAGTAGGACTAAATAAAGTAATTTATTGTAAAATTATCATTAAATAAAATATATTCGCGTAACCAGAGTAACGTAATTACCGATCGAAAGTGATGTTAGGAGAGTAAAAAAGTTTTCACTATTCACGTAAAAAGAAACTGATGTGTACTGATCTTTATAAATTTGTTAAATGGTTGCATCTTTTAGAATTTTTATCTCCCTTTCCTGGTCTCAGGTATACGTGTGTAGGCAAATGTGTAGAAAATATTCAGAAGACTTGTACTACTCTCCAACGTGTACTCAATTTGAATGAATCGACAGCGGTTTAGCATATTAACACATTAGTTCGCACATTTTCATCAATCATCAATCATCAATCCTCAATTTTCATAAGATAAATATCCAAGCACCCGGACATTCAATATTATGAAAAAATCTAAATTTTTCCTATTAAAATGATGCTTTTATTTCTCTCTTTTTTGAGTTTTTTTATTTTACTTTTAAATTAACAAAGATAAAAATCTAATTGTCTGTCGAATAATATGCATTCGTACCGGTATACGAACATAATGTCAAATACATGCAAAAGAAGACTTTTTAAATGAGAAATTTAGAAATTTGTTTTTAAGACTGATCAGAAATATTTTTTAATGCTGTAGAATATTACTTACTCCTGATAAAATTATTAAAAATTAATTGAAATTGTTTCACATAATTTAATTTTCTCATACTCATTAGCTTACACATTATATTAATTTTTATGTAATTAAATATTACATGATGATTTTTAATTCTGTTTCTGTGCAAAAATCTTAATTAGCTAAAGATTTGTATATTTCTAGATTTTATATATAAATATTAAATAACTTTTGTCAATACGTAATTGGATATTGACGGATATGACGTCCGAATGCTGGGATATTTACCTTATAAGAGAAGGAAAAAAAACAAATGCAAATATTGTTGCAGGAATTTAATTACTTGGAGGAGCAGTTATAATGCGGCCAATACTACACAGTGTCTTAAAAACAAATACATTTATAGAATGCATTATTAATTTACATTTTTCCACACAATTTTATAATTCTACGCAAAATGTAAAAATATTTATATAATGTATGTTTATTTGTGTTTTTGGTTTATTGTACACATTTTATATTGTTATACATTATATCTTATAAATTTAATTGCACATACATAAATATGTTTGATTTTCTTTTTGAGGATTACAGGGAAGAGAATGTTGCATTATGGGGAAAATAAACATACAGCATTTTTAATGAGGTAAGCTACAGTGCAGATAAAAATAAATCTCTATAATACTGAATTGTTGATTTATTATTAAGATAGTTGTGTTATATTAATAACAATTGAAAAGTTGATTGAAAATATGGATAAAAGCCCAAACAATTTGATTAACATATCTAATATATTTTTAAAATATTAAATTACAACATATTAATAAAAAGTATCAAAAAAGTAATATTTAAAGTTTTACATGAATATATCTTCTGTCATCTGAACTATTCAACTTTCTGCTGTGTCTGTCCATTGACACATCTTTACGCAAATGAATCAGCTGTACAAATATATCCAGATAGCAAAATCTAGATCAAAAGAACGTTTTGCAAATTATGCACTTTGTATAACCGTTGCCGGCTATTAACAACAGTTGAACAACTGTTTTAAAATGGCGGTCAATAGTGCTGCGATCTCTGGTTGTACTCATAGTATAACCAGTCTGTTCAATCGATAAGGGTAAGTCAGGATAAGTTACGCAAGATCGCTTTACCATCTTGATCTAGTTGAACCAATCAGATATCATTTATGAATGATTAGTGTAGAATTCGTATATCAGTGATGTAATAACTAAGAAGTAAGGAGAGGAATGTATTATATTCGGGACTCTCTAATTGTACAGTTAGGAGCATTGAAAGCTATCCACTCGGGTACCCTCACCATTTCCCAAAAGTATCTACTACATTCTTTATTTTTCCATTTTTTCTTGAATGTTGAATAGAGATTGGCATCCCCCTTCCATCTAACATCCAAGAAAAAGTGGAAAAATAAAGAATGTAGTAAATGCTTTTGGAAAGTGATAAAGACGCCGAATGGATAGCTTTCGATGCTCCTGATTGTATAATTCTACGACACAGATTTTTATACCAAATTAATGGCAGCAACACATAATCCATTTCAATTTCCATAGTTAGGATCCCAATATAGGGGACGCTAAAATCGTACTTCTACTTGTACAAAAAGGAGTTTCTATTCTCTGTTCATTCTCAGTTCTTCTGTATTCCTCTCTGCCGGACAACAAATCTGACCACGCGGGACTTTCACGCGCATCCGAAACCTGCGCAACTTTATATTAGTGTGCATGCGTCGACCACTTTATCCGGGAGTGATACTCTGGCATTCATTTGACAGAACAAGTGGGATAAACGTTGTTGCATAATTATGTGAGTATAAACAAATGTATGATGTCGGCTTATCAATCGTTTACCGATTATCAACGACAATTTCAAGCAATTGCTCGATTATATAACGTTCTGCATAACAGCAACTGCGTAATATTTCCGGATTAATTATATAATGTTTTCCCTAGTATTGCCATTAAGCACATTAAACACATTTCAACTCACTGTTCTTACGGCGAGTAATCTTACCGTGACCTTTGCTTCCTTTTATGCACCGAAGCGTGCAATGTAATGTAAATATATAATTTGAAAAGAATTGCGATATATCCTCTTAAAATTAAAACAATGTACTTACAAACAATTACGATTTTATGCTGAGAAATCTATTTCACTGAGAAATCTGTCTCACGTAAAAGTTTGACGAAATGGATTCTAGTATTTTGTACAGAGCAATTGAAAAGAATTATTGTTTAAGAGCTTTCAAAATTCTTGGTTAAATATGCCTAAAGAATAGTTGAAAAGCATGATGTTTAATTTGAGAGTGTGAGAACCTTTGCTATATCATTGAGAAAAAGAATATTAATTTTACATCAAAAATTTTTACAGCCTATAATCCACCATTTATATGCATTTGTAAGATGTAAAAGAATTGAAATAACAGTAATATCTAACATTTGCAGAAGCAATGGTGGCTCATACGGTACTTCTGGACTTCACAGTGTCCAGCAGTGTAATTGCTGACATGGAGAAGCGATCGAGCTTGAAGTCTGCAATTGCTAATGTACTAGCGGAACATTTTGCTGGACTTAAGCCACTGACAGAATCTAATATCGATGGCAGTTTACTCATTTTATACACTGGACCCAGAGGCAGTCTAATCACTGTTAGAGGATACACAGAAGGTCTAATTACATTAAACATCGAGTATTACAAGCAGGATGACCAAGAGGCACTGTTAACTTTTGAGGTATGTATATATCAAATTAGTGAATAACTTGTTAAAGTAATATCAAATATTTTTATTTGAACAACCGAGAACAAATGTGATTTTGGAAAGCACAGCTCGTCCTTTTACACAGTTTTTTGGAATTAGTGGTCACAATGAATATAAAAAGGAGAAAATACCAAGTATAGGAACTTGTCACTTTTTAAAGAAAAAAAGAGTAATAAATGCGAATTTCTCATTAGAGGCCTGTAACAAATTTGACAAACAGTTATGACACAATGAATAATGTGTAAATTTTGACATGATAAAACTTAAAGCTAAGTTAAAAGCGGTAAAATGTAGGATGTTTAAAAAAGGGTTTATGTATTATTAAAGTGTGCATATAGTATTCGCGAAACTAAATGAAAGATTCTTAATGTAATATGTGAAGAATTAATCTTATTGAAGTTAAAATATAGAAGCAATTTTTTATTTTGACAAAGAACTTGCTTGCTTGTAGTATTCAAAGATCATTGGCTCTAAAATCAAGCAAGTGAAATTGTCAATTGTTTAATTTTTATATAAGTTTCGATCTTAAGTCAAAACAATAGTAATATACAAATAAAAGTATACTAATCATATAAAATAAAAAATTATAATAAATTGTATGATGAAAAATCTATAATTATAATAATTGTTGAAAATGTAAATTCAAGTCGCGCATGTGAATGAAATAGAGACATTCATTTAAATTCCATCAAATTTACAACTAGAAAAAACGTTTATATATGTATTGAAAACAGCTTTTAAAATGCAGAGGATCGAATAAACGTGTTACGAAAGGTGCAGATGAAAGCTTATCTAATCATGATGATAAATAAAATGATAAGATAATGGTTATATCTGACGAATAGAAAATGCCTGCTAGATAATATTAACGCAGTCAGAGAGATCCATTTGTCTTGATCTTGTCTTGATTAATCTTAAAATATCTAATGTAAATGCAACAATTTGAGTGTTTTGATTTTAATTGATACACCCAAATATGAACCAAATAAGAATCGGACAAAACAAACAGAAATTTGACACAAAGTGATATAATATTAGTAAAAGATATTCGCATGAAAGTAAATAAGAATTTTTAGAATTAATACGTTTTTGAAGAAATAACAAGATATAGCTATCCTAGATAAATGTGCAAAGACTGAGTTCTTTTTTTTATTCAGTTTCTGCGAGTACCACATGCCCTATTAATCCGGAATCCCTTTTTTCAACACCCTGTAAAGATATCTTTATAACGCAAGTAGGAAATATGACATAACTGACAGAACGTTGTAGCAGTGGCGATACTTGGAAGCCGATGTTGCTATGGCTTTGAATAGCCAACGCAGCAAGCGTTTACCGCCAGTAAGACGAGGAACCATATATGACCTCTATCTGACGCTATCAGGTAGAAAATGCTTTCCCTTAGTTAGATTTTGTTCCTCAAGTTTATCTCTAACACATCTACTTTATATATACTACTTGTAGATTTTATATCGTGGAATATATTTGGCATATAGAGAGTTACAATCGCTATGACTGTCACTAATAGATATTTAGGATAGGCCGCTTGCCAGGAATGCTGACTTAATTTTTTCCCTAGCACTATTTCAGCCCGAATTTTTTGTCCAGCACTCAATTCACTCATAAAAATATTTTAACTTAATTTATTCAAAAATGCATAATATTTGAAAATATATTTACTTGTACAATAATTCTCTCTCTTTCATTGCTTGGTCGTACGAATAAAAGTTCTTAGACTTTGATAAAAACCTATTTCAATATAAAGAGAAAATAGGTTTGGCACTAAAAGCTACAAGCTAGAAGGCAATCAAATAACTGATACAAACTGATACAAACTTGTGGCATACATTATAATTTGGTGGGATTTTTATTTTATTATATTTTTCTTTTCTCTCATGTCTTTTACAAATTAAGATTCTTTTGAAGTAACATGTATGTATTCAAATGTGAAGTTAAAGATGTGTGAGTCACACTTATTTTATTTTTAAATTTTTATTTTTTTTTGTGCATATATTTATGCCAAATCAAACCACCAATCTTTGATTTACAAATTGCTTAGTTTTTATATTTACACTGCTTGTGAAAAATCGTGTGCAACACTTGTTGACAAATTTAACAAAGAAAAAATATTGCCAATCAGATTAAATTTTTCATATACGTACTAATTTTATCAATCAAAGCGAATTTAGCGAACTATTTGTTTCTCATTTTTTTATTCGAATTTATTAACGAAAATTATTAAAATTATTTATCTAAAACTGCATGAAAATATAAACGTTGCAATACTACTCGCTCATTCTAATATCCGCGATTTGGCAGTTATTCGTTATTTTGTTTCTTGTAACTGTTCAATTTTAGGAGATACCAAGATCATTAGGATTCAAAACACACAAATGTTTTATATATCTCTCTCTCTTTCTATATATATATATATACGCAATTAAATTATAAATTGAATTATATATATATATATATAATAGATAGGAAAAAAGAATAACAAATATTTTCTTTACTACAAAATATTCACATTCATGTCGGTTTATAATGTCATAACTCTGCATAATCCAAATCTGTTTGATATTTAATATGTGTATGTATATTACTTTTGCAATTTATAGTTATAAAATAATTCACAATATTAGTTTCGTAGCAACTTATTGCGTTACCTCTTTTGACATGTGCAAATCGTAAACCCTTAAATTCTCTGGAGCTTTTTTAAATATTTACATTTGCATATCCTCGAATTACCGCTTTTAATCGTACGGCTTAATATATGACCATACACACACATACACACGCAGACACACTTATCATGATCCGCGTTTTACCGCTTGTTGTATATAATTTTTTTTGGACGAAGAGCTCCGCCATATATCATGGCTTGCCAGATCTTGACACCTTTTTTTAGCTTCCTTAACAACAAGGAGTATAGCGATTCCGTTTTACAAGATAGTGTCTTTGTTCTGTTCATTCATTGGTTCGGCTTGATGATGATGATGATAATGATGATGATGATGATGATGATGATGATGATGGATGGATGATGATGGTGATGATGATATGATGATGGTAATATGATGATGGTGATGATGATAATGATGATGGTGATGATGATTATGACGATGATGACAATGATGATGATGATGATAATGATGATGATGATGATCATGATGATGATGATGATGGCCGATCGTGGTAGTTGGCCAAAGAATTGGAGGCGGCATTGCAGACAGCGGCAACCGCTACACGGTCGCACACGCTTACCCCGATTAAACGCGGTGGACCCTTTGAGAGATACTATCCTACCGCCGGTGAGTTTTTATTTATAATTATGTTTACGGACCAGCTAACGGCCGCTCTTACCAGGGAAACTGCTTGTACTTAAGGAGCTCGATCGAATTGGAAAACTAGTATTATACATCGATTCGTAAATGTTTGTACATATTATAAATGTCCTCACGCCTCGCTGCTTTTTGTTTTTTATATTTTTTGTTTTTACAAAAAAATTATTAATAAAACCTATATCCTAAGGTATTATCTTTGAGGCGTTTAAGATCAAAATTCATCAAGCCACAAACTCGCGATAATAAGCGATTAAAGATTATTTGAAATGTAAATTTGTAGTGAAAATTTAGAAAATTGCAAAGACATTACGATGATATTTCTTATAAAAAGATAATGTTCCTTTTAATTGACACAAAATTCACTATCTAAGAGTTTTTAAGATTGCTGATTAGGCTCTGGAAAAATTCTTTGACATGGAGTTGAACATTTCGCACAATTTGAGATGTTGCAATATCTCTGTGGCCTTTGTCGGATTAAAACTTGTAAAATATAGGCTTGGCGATTTCTAATTCTAGACGCTTCTTACTCGTCAATAATATGCACACACCTGTGCTCCGCTCGGGGTTCGACTCAATCCGTCATCACTCGGCGTTAATTTCTAGGACGTTATTTGTCCTATTCTTTGCATGACGAAGCGTCCAATTTTAATAGTATATTTTACAACCTTCTCACATTGTTTTTCTATCTGGTTATGACGCAACGTTCCTATGCGTGTTATCAGCTTTGTCTTGCGATATACCCCGTTTTCTATTCCTCGCAATATTTTTCGTATACAAAAGCATGCTTCAAGTTATTACGAGATGGCGACAATAGCATTGGCAATAAAGATTACTCTTATTCAAGATGAACGATTGCTGGAATACGACATCGACAAGCTCGTGTTCGAGGCCAGATCGCCGTATCAGAAGGTACAAATCGTGCACTCTAAATCGCTGGGCAATCTACTGGTGCTCGACGAGCTACAAAGTAAGTCACATTATAGTATAATTTTTCTCTTAGCATTTACAACTTACTAGAAATCCTTCCGTAGACATGTCCGAGGCGGATCTTATATACACAGAGACGCTGATGCAGCGTGGCAAGGAAGACTACGCCGGCAAGGAGATAGTGATACTTGGTGGTGGCGATGGCGGCCTATTATGGGAATTACTGAAGGAAAAACCAAAATTTATCACGATGCTGGAGGTATACAAACTGAGCTTTCAGTGCCACAGTTTTATAATCATTGTATAAATATCTAAAATTGCACATTTACCAGATTAATGTAAAAGTATAAAGGATTTTTAAATAATTGATTATGAACCTAACATCAAAATTTATAAATTAAATCTGTCGCATTTAATGTGTTTAAAAATGCAAATTCTTATTTGTTTGACGGCAAGATTGGCAAACAATTTTTACTATCAGTGATGATGCGTCTGTTATAGATTGCAAAATTTTGACTAACAAACTCGTAATCTTAAATTTCAAGATTCAAAACGCATTTGCATCTCACGGTTAGTTGATAACTTTGATTCTAATTCAAAATCGATCAAAAAATTAGATTTTGTAGATTAATCAAGAACAACATTTTTGCGACAGCATGTATGAATGCCGGATAATGGTGCGTTTTTCCAATACTGACTGAAACGATCATGCCGAAATGACGACACATAATCTATATACATTCTCTGTATTCTCAGTTTTTGTATTTACTTGCAGATTGACGACATCGTTATGGAAGCTTGTAGTCAGCATATGCGGAGCATATGTGGTGACTGCTTGGACAAGAGAAAGGGCGATAATTATGAGGTAATGCACTTGGGCTTCAATTTTTTAATATTTAATATCAAAAATTTTAAGAGTTTTTCTCCTTTCCTATGTTTGATCATTCATAATTTCATTCATAAATTCATAATTTCGTAGAGTCTTGTGATCTTAAATGAAGACAAAGCTAATCATGTTTTATAGATTATTGTCGGTGATTGCGTGAAAGCATTGGCGCATATGATCGAAGAAGGAAGACAGTTCGATTATGTCTTTGGCGATCTGACGGATATTCCTATTAGCACAACGCCACACGGTGATGCTTGGGACTTTATCAGAGTAATCCTCAACTCTTCGATGAAGGTGTTGAAGCCCACTGGGAAATATATGACGCATGTGAGTGTCTTTGTTTTATTCAAAATATATTTAATTTTATCAATTACCTAGCAAGAGTGAAATGCTACCAGTATATCACCAATAAATTCAGATTCAACAAATGTGGATTCAGCGCATAAAAACTAGTATTCTTCTTTCTTAAATAACAGACCCATATAAAGTAGCGGTATTTATATTGCACTTTATTGACAAAATTATACACGAGAGCTTTAGACAATATCTCGATTTAAATAAATTTAATCATTTCATATTATTGTTTAATATTGTTTTTCGGACATAGGGGAATGGCGCGTCTTGTCCAGAATCCTTGAAAATGTACGAGGAAGTTCTGTCGCAATTGTGCGTACCAGTTACATTCACGAAAGATCGTGCTTTTGTCCCGTCTTTTTTCGAGGACTGGATCTTTTATCAAGTTTCACTGAAATGATGGAGTAAAGGATGTCCGGGCAGAATCTGGAGGACCATACCGAAGCGGCCTCCTTACAATCCTCTGCCTCTCTTATGACCCAAACTCTACGCTCTAGTTCTAGCCTTATTAATTAATGAAATTAGTTCCTAAGTGAGGCGAATCAAACTATCATTAATTAATTCACTTTGTAAAACATTAATTAATTAATTGCGCTGTTTTCTCCTGTAAAATATTTCCGGGAGAACCTTTTTATGACATTGACGTAATGACAGCGCTGGAAGACGGGTCCAAAATAATAAATATATTTGGTGTATGCTAAGTAAAAAAAAAAAAAATATATATATATATATATGTATACATATATATATTATATATATACAGGATGATTGCAGATATGCAGAATAAATAAAAATATTTTATGTGCTTGTGTTCTATGAATGAAAGAAAAGGAACTTTATGTAGCTTTAGCAAACTCTAATACAGTTTTTTCTTCGTTTTTCATTCATAGAATAACATCTAAATATTTAAATACTTCTGTCTATTGTATACCCATTCTGTATATTTTATTTTTGCTTCTCAAAATTCATTTTTATTTCTTATGTAAGTCTTTAAATAAATTTTATTTTTTTCTACAAATCCTCTTCCATCGCTGCCTTAGTGATATTACGGAAAATTATCTTTAGTTAAAATCGATAGAAATTAAATCCTCAACGGTGCTGAGATATTTCTTCGAGGAAGTCTATGATGAAGGAATTAATAAGATTCGTCCTTTTTTTCGTATTTGATCATTGAATGAATGATCCGTTTTTGTTAATCTTTTATCAATACATAATTCTTGATTGTTTAATGGAATCTTTAAAATTCCAATTAACTTGCATTTTTTCAATCAATCTCTTCCGCTTTATATATATATAAAATCAACAAAAGGATTAACGGCAACAACAATCTCATATTATTGTGCGTCTTTCCCTCTTGTTTTCTTTTTTTCGTAAATATTTGTGTCGCAATTGCTTATCCGTGATAGCTGTTGCAATAAAATATATATTCGATATGTATATATCGCATATATGAATATATTATGTATTATAAGGCTCGGTGTAAAGACGGTAAAATTTTGTCAGGATAAATTATTTTTCTAGCAAATGTTATTCTTTAATTTGAATAATCGACAAAATACGAACAAACTAATGCATACACGTACGCTCGATTAACCCTAAACAGTATAACGGTGTAAAACAGTATGAAATAGTATAACACATCAACGTATATATATATAATAAATTTGTATCATCATAATAAAATGTTTTTTCTTTCTTTTTTTCTTCGAACACTGGATTCAATAATATAAATAAATTTATAAAATTATAATTTATCGTTATTTTTTAAAATTGTATTTTAATATCAAAGAGCACGTGTCATAAGTTCATAGTAGTAGAAATTCATACAGTTTAGGGTTAAGGAAATTAAACTAATAATAAATCTCGCATGGCCATACAAATGTGTTGATTAAATTTAATTGAAATAATGTTGAATATTTTCAGTTATATTTTAATTCCTTATGCAATTTTACAAATAATATTTATTTGTCAAAGATATCATTTTCTCAGTGTTAAAAAAATATATATATAATTACATCTTAACGTAATATTAGCTGTTTAATAAGCAGCGGTATATAATGTGAAAACGTGATATAATATTATAGATTGCTTCTCTCCAATGTGAATAGTTGTTGGAATTTTAAAAGAGATCTTCAAAACTAAGAATTTTTTACGAGTCAATCAATCAGAAAATCGACAACTATGCGCATACGCACAATCTAGTTATGTAAGTGAAGAAGAGTTGGAATTACAGGATGTGACACGAGTGAAATTGATTATTAAACAACAATGTACAACCGTAACTTTCATTCCTAAAAGAAGATACTGTTCGAAGGAAATGGCACATGAAAATGATTGGTTGTTGTCAAAATTCATTGATGAACATATCGTTTACATTAATTCTTTAACGTTAAAAACGTTTCATTATATAAGAAGAAAGAAAAAAAAAACCAAATTACATACAATTACATTGTATATTTAGAATTTCTTGGGGCTGTTGAAGTTCAAACCTGTAATTAAAATGTTAGAATTTTTAATTAAAAATTTGGGCAATAGATTTTATATTAAACTTTTTCAGGGAGTTTAAAAAATTTTAATTTAAAAATTGAGATATGAATTTTGTAATTTAAAAATAAAAAAAATAAAATGCGATTAAATTAAAAAATAACGGACATTCAATTTGTGTGTGAATTAAAATTTCAGAATAAAATAAATTTTATTTGTTTGAAATAACGCGTGTGTGTGTGTATATATATTTATACACACACGCATATATGCATCATGTAACATCATGTGAGAGATTATTGTTAAACTAAACTGGAAAATGATACAGCAAATCATATATAAAGCAAAGTTCATTCTCGATAAAGAAATACGCAATTATTTTTAGTAGTATAAGTACCCTGATAGAGCCAAATTTGCCTAACCGATATTGTTGGATAGCTGCTACGAATTTTTTCAGCAGGGAGGCCACAAATTTAGTGTAAGACCTGTCCTGTTCAATACAGTAAACAAATGATATCGGATCTATTGCCATATTGTAATCGAATCCATTACCAATCTAGTAATCATAAAATATAGCCAACATTTAATTTATTGGGACAATCTTATAAACTATATAATTCAGAATTTTTCAAGCAATATATTCTTCGAAAGAGCGTGAATCAATTTGTTTCGTATATCAAGAATAACAAAATACTTGTAGTACGAACAAGAAACACCACGATGAGCATCTGTCGCAAATATGCATATTTTCTTTTCTTGTACTCTATCTATTTATCTATCCTCCCTCTTCCACGTTCAAGATGTCCATACGCTTTCTAATGTTTCTCTATGCGATATTGTGCAGTAGATTTCATAATTACGTCTACATGATTTGTTGCGATTGTTGATGTAACGTTTTGCTTACGTGATACACTTTACATAAATTTTTTTTCTTAATAACCGTGAAAATATTTCATTAAAAAGATGCAATAAATAATAATTTTGCATTAAATTTTTATTTATATATCAGATTGGCAAGTTTATATAAAAGTTAACTCATCCCCTTAAAAAATAGTTTATTATATAATTTAACATTATTATACTTGACATATATTAGTGCTATATGCTATTGTTATATTAATACTTTTTGTATTTTTTTTATAATTGTTTTGTTTGAAAACATGTTTTATGTTTTCATAGATCAACACAAGAATTACTAATATAATAATAATATACAGTTCTAGTATATGTTTAATGCAATATTATTAAATATAAAAGTACAAAATATATATAAAAATATTAATAATTGTGTGAAAGTATACTTTCATAAAATTAACGTAAAAATATAATTATCCATTGCATTCAATGCAAATATATGACACGCTACCAAGATTTCTTGGAAAAAAAAGATATTCTCTGCAAGATAACATATACATATGCTTTTATATTTTATATACTTGTAGCAAAGGTGAAAAAAAATATATTTAAAAATTTGACGAAAGTATAAAATCAAATTCCATAGATTACATATTATGTACACAAATGATATGTTACATGATAGGTTGCATTATTCACGGGTAAATGTAAACTGTTATACTTAGTTTACGCCCAACGACTCTGTCTATAATCACAAAAAGAAAAATAGATCATAACATGAGAACGCTTTTTTTCACTTTATTTTATGAAAAATTATATAAATTAAAAATATATTCGACATATAATTTCTAAAGTATATCAGCCTTGTCAGTGTTTTCCATCGCTCTGGAAACTTTGGCCCCGGTCAAAGTATCAATTAACGATAAGATTACAATTCGTCACAAAATTTCGCCTTGGATATCTCCGAGAATTGCCCAGCTTCATGAATCGCAGGCTCTGTCTCAGTTTCCGCGAGAATTTGCCGTAACCATTGTTGCACTTGTATCGGATGTTCATAATTTTTGTCTTTTTTCCTCGAGCATCTAATTGATTCAATGTCATCATAATGCGAAACAACTTCCTTGTCGAGTTCTTGCAAATTAGCTTCCATCCCTTCACTCGTCAAAATATCTAACCCGCAGGATTCTGCGGTCTCATAAGATATCTCAAACGGCTGTACATTACGCGAATATATCTTGCTGAAGGTATGCAAACCATCTAAGGATACATGTGTTAGTCCAAGTTTACGTTTTATAATTAAAAGCGGCGAACATCCTGACAAGAACAGAGTATCGTTGAAAGTCATCAATGCCTTGTCTTTCATATTCTGTGAATCTTGCAACTGATTCTCAGGGAGGAAAGCAGAAGGTAAGCTTAAGATACGTAAAATTCTGCAGTCAGATTTGAAATCCTTGCAACATGGAAAATTTAAGTCATCTCTAATTTTCTGGCATGTGATTGATTTATCAAAACTGACATGGTCCTTGTTAGCATCCTGATAGTCAGCAACCTTGTATGGCTCCACATCCTTCACTGTGATACCGTTCAATCCATGTATCTCAATATTACCAAATTGGCTTATCCGTTTCTTCAGCTCAGTCCTATCATTCAAAATTATTATCGACGATGGTAAGAAATTTAATGAAGTCTCTACCAGTGAGAGTTGTTGCCTGTGGATGGCTTCCGCTTGTCGAAGTAATTGCTTTTCTCTAGACTGCAGAACTTTTGTCAGTTCCTCAAAGCAATTTCTGATCTCTGTCTCAATCTGTAAATTGTATTTTCTTCATGATTCTATAATTAAAAGGAGATACGGAAACTTCTTCATAACCCTTAACTATTTAATCGATATTTTATTATCTCTCAGAATATATCTTCTTGTATCCTAAACTTTATCGACGATCAAAAGCTTTGTTCATAATATGCTGTTTAATTACATACATTATATTATATCAGATATATAGCTTATATGTATACGTTATACATACCAAAATAAAAGTAATCTAGCAAGTTTACACGTACATAACAGTAATATTGAAACTTGTGGTCAATATACCTGAGCAGATCTTTCTTCCAAGAACCTCCGCTTGTTCGCAATCAGTTTTATTCGTGACTGATTGTCTTCGTTGTCAAATGACTGACTTTGCTTGCCTATCATGTTAGCCCTTACTCCAATTCAACAACATCGAGATGAACAGTAATACTCCGTAACTATTAAAGTTGTGCCGCATGAAAATAATTCGCGTAACAATTATACGTATGCACACCAGGCATCAATAACGTCTTACACTCCAGATTGACAATTATTCAAGCCGTGTGCATCATAACATGGGACAATATTTGATATCTAAGTGTTTGACATGTGTAAAAAATTACATATATACGAAATTAAAATAATAACAACAGCTCATACCAGTAAATTAATTGATAAAATTGAATTTTTCGATTTTTTATCAACAGTCATAATGCAAAAATATACTTAGACTCGACGCGTTTGTCTCGAAAAGGCCTTGTGGCTTTTGCACATTGGACGCAATGGGCGATGAGCGATAAAGCGATATCCAATGAGAGCTCTATTTTTCCGGAAAAATAGAGCTCTCATTGGATATTGCTAATCGCGTCCAGTGTGCAAGAGCACCATTAAACTGAAAGTGTGAGGCCTTAGGGCCATTATACAATGCGTCGCAAATGCTCCGATACCATTCGCGAATGGGCACATTCAGCGGAACAAACCGCTCAGTAGCAATCGAACGTGATTAGCTCTTACTTTTAGAGCCAACAAATCGACAGCGTCATCCAGCAGAAAATCTAGTACCTCTGCCCAACTATTGGCCGCATTTAACGGACTCAACAGTTGGACAAAGTTACTAGATTTTCCGCTGAATGACGCTATTAATTTGTTGGCTCTAAAAGTAAGAGCCAATCACGTTCGATTGCTACTGAACGGTTTGTTTCGCTGAATGCGCCCATTGAGTCCGCTGAATGCGGCCATTGCCTCGTCTTACCAGAAATAACTAGAAATAGCGCTTTTCAATTAGCAGTTGCCATTCTTCGCGACTGGAAATGGGGCATTTGTGACTCATTGTAGAATGGCCCTTACATTTTTAACGTTTTTCGAGTGAACAGATTTTAATCCGTCCGGGATCAATTATTACGGGATCAACTATGAATTTAAGTCTTTTATTGGCGGAAACGATGCATCGATGACATCATTAATCAACTTTGAATCGATCAAAATCCGTTCTCGCGAAAACGCTGTTATATATAATACATACTTTTATTTTAAAGATGAACTCTGTGTATAAGAACCGACAAAATACCGACAATTCTCTCAACGTACAAAAGAAAGCCAAACAAAAAAATAGTACAGTCAATTGTGTATACTTACAATAGATGAGACGAGTCGCTACAAGCGATACGAAACAGGGATATCCATTGTTGCAAATAGCAATAGTGTAATAGACTTAAAGGGAGATAAACAATTCTCAACTATGTTAAGATCATCTCTTTTTCAATCATGGCTATAAACCACCTGTGGTCTATTATGAAAAAAAGCTTATTCCAGCATATTACATAATTTAATAATTGGTATTTGGACAGGGGAAAGTAATGGAAAGATAGATGTCACTCTTTCCGCGACAGGGTTATCACAGCGACATCGAGTGTGGAAGGAGACGAGTATGCGGCACAAGGTACGAGACGACATGCGGCAGTCTCGCGCGGCTCGTCTGGTAGTGGTTACGAGTATGGCGAGTTGATTGAAAGGGCGACGACGTTAGGGGCACGTTTTTCTGTACATAACACATATATACACACATCACGTACACATAGAAAGTATCAGACGATCGCTCGCGACAATAAAACTCGCGCGAGGAAGATTTGATTATTTTGTGCGATTCGGTGAAAGAAATTGTTGAGAGAGAGAGAGGGAGAGGGAGAGAAAGAGAGAGATCGAGAGCAATCCTGAATCACTCGACGCGAGAAGCGACTTTTTTTTCGCATTTATTTATCTATCGATTGTACACTCGTGTATCAAAAAGGCGCCGGTGCTACTGCACACCCGCCCGCCCGGTGATTCGCGTTCCAACTAGGAAGTGGCCTTGCCCACGTCGAATATACGCCGGCCGCGACACAAATTCCCGCTTAGGGTTTGACATCTCTAACTCAACTCCACTCCACTCCAAGAGATCGAGTTCGACGACACAACGAGGCATCATACACCGTCTTATACGTTACTCTCGGTCGACACTGAATATTCGCAAAAGGTATAGCATCAAATACGTATGCCTGTATTTGTATATGAATGCATTCTCTACCTACCTACCTACCCAACACACGCGCGTGCCGCGCGGGTATGTATGTGAAGTTACTTTCTAGTGAGGAAACAAGTACTTTTGAAGCCGTAATAAGCAGCGATATTCAAAATCGCGTTTAGTTGGATTTTTAACTGCTACATAGAGAGGTAATTATTGCTGATGAGATAAATGTTGCTGTATTTTGCGAACTATTCGAATTTAAACAAAATTTTTAACATAAGATCGGACTGTGAAAATCGTTTGAGGAATTAATTTGTGTCGCGATTTCTGTGTTCTATGTGCTATGTGGAAAGCAACCATATGCACTTGTGACTTGAACGAAATGAATTGAACACCTCTTCCTACATAGTATAGGTGTGCGTATGCATGTATAAATCGGGAGTCAGTCGGTAAGAACTTGACGAACGAACTTCGACGTAAAGTTGCTTTAATATTTTACATCTGTTGCATGTCTAATTTTTTATACTCGTACTCGACATTGTGTGGTAAAAAAGCCGAAGCTATAAGTATACGCTATAAATGTCAATTTAATGATTTGTGAATAATTTTCCAAGTTTTTTCCTACTATTCGATTCGATCCTATCAGATGAAATTTTTTAGTTAATACCATATACGCCGTATATGTGTACATTTACATTTTACTTTTATTCACCTGTTGAAAATATAATGGCAACACAATATTCGTTATTTAATTCGTCAATTAATTCGTTAATTAAAAATTATTTATTATTATGAACTTTATTATAAACTAAACATCAAATAAATAAATGTGCGTTATACACAGAGAGCTACAATATTACAAACTAATACGAATTTCATTGGAGAAAATATTTGTAACTAATATTTCTTCTAAATCGACGATAAAGGTAGAAAGAAAATTTCTGCTTGCAGCTGTGTATTTTAAATATTTACGTCAGAAGCGAAAAATTGTGATTTGTGTTTTGCATTGCATTTCGATGTAAATTAGTTTTTCCATATGCCACCATTTATATTATTATTCATGAGGTAAGCTAAGTAAACTCACTTTCTTATTACCTTACATTAGTTAAAAGAGATACGCGTATAATGCAATTTGCAAAATTTCCTTTTTCCTATTTCATTTCCTTAATTTTTTTATATTTTATAGTTTAAAAAATTTGTTTAACTTTTGTATGTAAATACTCATTAAAATTACTACTACTACTACTACAAAAAACAAGTAATTATCAAATTGCAGATGTCAGAGTGATTTGTGTAATGCAATGATCACGTGTTACAACAGTTTTAAGTTAATAACATTTGTTAATAAATTTTATCATTATTAACAATGAACAATTTCTTTGTCAAAATTAATAAGTACTGCAGTACAAAATATAAAAGTATATATATAAAAGTATAAAAAGTAATCTATAAACATAAAAAAATGTTAATCATTAAATCATTAAACTTTAAAATTGAATCAGCGATCTATGCTTAGATCTTGTGTGCGCGGATATTCAGAATAAATGATAAAATAATATATATAAAATTTTTAGGATTTTGTGAATGTTTTAACATGTGATCTATATATACTTTGACATATTGACATTATCAGGCGCCGCGGAAGTATTTTTCATCTGAGGGGGCAAAATTTATAAAGAGGATACATAATACATTTATAATATGTATACATATGTATATATATGTGTGTGTGTGTGTGTGTGTGTAATTCAAACACCAAATAATAGGCCACTTAGTGGGTAGTATAAATATAACGAAAAATAATTTGTTCTAATTAATTTAATGCGCTTAATTTTCTTCATTACTCGTGTATTTTCTTCGTGTACTTCAATTGAACGAGTAAATAGTAAAAAAAAGGAAAAAGAAAAAGAAAAAAAAAAACCATTTTTCCATCTTTGATGTAAATATTTGATACTCAATATTTTTGATCATGAAATACCTGAAGAAAACAGAAAAATTTCAGGGGGGACTACGTCCCCCCTGAATTATCTCTGGGTGGACGGTCGCCCCCTCTGCCCCCCCCCCCCGGTTCCGCGGCGCCTGGACATTATAAATGTAATTAATGTAAAAATTGTTTTTTAAATTATTCTTATTATAATACAATTGAGATTGTAATAATCATGATCGTACTAATTATAAATTATAATGAATAGATTACGAATGCACACGCTTAAAAGGCATTCTGCAACTTGTATTCTCAGCCTTTTTCTCTTCTCTCGAACAATACAGCAATCTTTTTTTAATTGTTTATGAAAATTCATCAATCAATCGAATCAATCGATAACATGTTCGTCAGACAATATTTTTATTTCAATTTCAATTTTTTGTAGTGGAGATGATGCTAGCTTTGCAGACAGGAGAAATTAATATTTAAAAACGAATTGAAAACGAATTAGGCTGCCAAAGAAAAAAACTATGTTCTTGATATTGAATTTTTCTTTTTTTACTAGTATATTTCTATCTTATTAAAATGTTTCAATTTTTAGAAATTGGTTACAACATAATTCTAACCAATATCTACTTCAATTATGAAATTCAGACTCGTTGTCTACATTTTTTTGCCAGTCAGCAAATAAATTTTTATTTCAATGTTATCTTTAACTTTATCATTGGTATGCATTATACGATACATTTCAATGTCACTCGTGACTCTATTCCAAAGAAGCAATGGATAGTACAATTACTATTAACCACTTGTTTACTTGCTTGTCTGTTTTCATTTGCCGCAGCCAACAATTGTAATAATTTCGACTCCATATTCTACAACGGACATGGAACAGAAATTTTTAACTGATTTTAAGAATATATGGATCATATGTTAAAACCGTAAAAATTTCATAGATTGTTTTAATGCTTATTCTGAATATCTGTACGAAACACTCAGATATAATTCTCTGATTAGAAAAGTTTAAAAAAAGTTATTTAATTTCTATATCTACATAGAGTTTTATGGAAAATCGTGTACTACAGCAATTTTTTATATTAGTTTGTAATATTGTACTCTGCTTAATCTAAATCCAAATTTGGTGTTTCAATATGAAATGAGAAATGCATTACTCTTAAATTTCAACGGCTTTCAGTTATTTGTACTGTCAATACTTACTACTACAATACGCAATGTACGGACGGGGACGTCATTGATGCCTTCCCATTTTTATATAGTATACGTTACGTACCACGTCTGTATATACATTGACGAGATTTCAATATTGCGTATCAATCACCGCACATATCGTGAGTCTCACGCTGTTGCGTGTCTCACAGACTAGCACAAAGAATCATTCTATCGCTAATCAAATTTAATAAGAAATCTAATACTACTTTTTATTAATTTATTTGAGAAATTAATAGCCAAAATCTCAAGTCAAATAGTGCAATTTTATGTAACATGTTCGGATTTGAAATAAATTTCAAAACGAGTTAGTCCAGCTTTCTCTTAATAAATTCCGAGAAACTTGTAGACTTATAAATGTGAATCCAATCAAATCCAAACAAAATCGTTTTACCTCTAAGTATGTATGTATATATCCATGCTTGTTACAGACACAGCCGCAAGTAACGACTTGAAACGCATCAAAGATGAATAAAGTAGACTATATGGAAGTGACCCTCCCGAATTATTCCTACATCTTTAATTTTGAAGAGACATTCAAGCATCACGAGACCAAACAATGGATGATGAAGAACTGGACAAACGGTTTCTATTACTGTGGATTGTATATGATTCTAATATTTGGCGGACAACTTTATATGACCAGCAGACCTAGATTTGAACTCAGGGGAATACTATGTCTTTGGAATACACTATTGGCTACTTTTTCTATTATCGGTTTTACGAGAACTGCACCCGAATTGATTCACGTCCTTAGGCATCACGGACTACACCATAGCATTTGCATACCAAGGTTAGTTTATTTTTTTATCCCATTATCATATTAAGTTTTACAGATAAAGGAAAATTATCCTTTATTCCTTGAAATTCTGCTTAATTTCCTACTATTGTAAGAAGTTATAGACACACATAGATTTATTTATGAAAGAATAAAAGTTTACCTTTTTCTTCTTCTTTTTTAGTATAAACAGAGTTTAAATATTGAATACATAGCAAAAAAATATTGTGTATGTGAAATAAAAAGTTCACTCTACTACATTGCATATCGATATTAATTTATACGCCACTATTGCATTTCTATTAATTTCAAATAAATTGAAAATTCGCTTCTTTTTTATTCTTCATCGTTAAAAGAAGGAAAAAAGGAGAAAAAAGTACGCGTTAATTTGTATCTACACCGTGTATCCAACAAAAAGGAACTTGATGAAACTAATCAAGATTTATGTAATATTTTTTTCCTAACCGATGAAAAACAGATAGAAAAAAACTTTTGAACGTTTTTGAAATTAGCTGCAAGACAAAATAATATGAATAAATGAATAAATGAAAAATCGCGGACATCAGAATGATTTGCACAGTCAGGCGATTGCGTAATCATGTTGTGCATAATTTCAAGCAAATGGTTCTTGAATCCGAATGTAATTTTGCACAAATGTTTGCGTAAAGTTTTACTAATTGTATACGAATAATTTGAGTATGAATATGCACATACGCACGCGCGCGAATATATATGAATATATACACGGAAAAAATTTTATATCAAAAATTATTATGTACGGCATTAACCGCGGACCGAAAGTTTTTACTATGTTTCACATGTGAAAAACATAGTAAAAATTTTTATAATTTCTTCATGGTCCACGACTACTACCGTACATAGTAATTTTTGATATAAAATTTTTTCCGTATATATATATATATACGGAAAAAATTTTATATCA